GTGTGTGTGTGTGTGTGTAGGTGTAGGTGTGTGGTGTGTGTGTGTGTGTGTGTGTGTGTGTGTGTGTGTGTGTGTGTGTGTGTAGGTGTAGGCGTACATGAGACACATGTGGAAATCAGAAGATAGCCTTGAGTGTTGGTCCTCAGGAGCCTTTCCCCATTTCTGAGGCAAAATCTTCCAATGCCCTGGAACATTGCCACGTAGGCCATGCTAGCTCATCCACAAGCTTCCAGGAGTCCATCTGACTCTCTCCTCCATTGCATAGTACTGGGGTTACAGGTGCATAGTGCCACACTCAGCCTTTTATGTGTCTTTTTAGGTCTGAACTCACTTCTTAAAGCAAGTGCTTTAGCAACTTAGCGACTACCTACCTATTAATGTTATCTTTCAGAAGACAATGATGATGTTGGGGTTGGTAGGGTCAACCAGATATAATGGCAATTGGGTATGTTTAAAGTCTCCCCATCTCAAGACTGTGCCTCTTCAAGGCCAGTTGAAATTGTTCTCCAAATACACCAGTGTTACCAGTTTGATCAAATCCAGGCATTTTCCCTCTTAAATTCTGCCCAGTTTAATAAAAATATCATAATCTAAATAAATGTAATCAATATCTAAACACATCCACACTGATCAGATTTGGGGCTTTATTGTGCAATGAAAAAGCAAACCTAAAATTTAATTCTAAGCATATGCAATTCGGCTCTTGGGAGCAAAACATTATTCACAAAAGAGAAAAGATATTTACTTGAAGGATAGAATATATTCTGAATTGTTTATTTCTCCAAAACCCATTTCCCCTAAGCCTTAAATTTATGCTGCTGTTTTTAAGCAATGAAGTTATTTTTATAAAATCTAGTTAAGCAATTTAATGGAAATAGCATTGTTTGAATAAAAAATTGCACACATGTGTAACTCTGAAATAGTATTATTTAAGCCCAATTTTTAGCTTCTAATGACAAACTGCCCCTCATAAAGTGAAATACATAATGATAATTGAAGAAATATATATGTAAAGAAAGTAAAAAATATTGTTATCACATAGAAAGGGAGACTGTAAGGACACATAAGTGAAGGGAAAGCGGCACTTTGCTTTTGTTGTCTAAACAGGACCTGGTACAACAGCGTAGGCTGCCTTTAAACTTGCAGTCCAATTGGTAGAGCATGACCTTGGACTCCTAATCCTTTTCCTCCACTTCCCCAGTGCTGGGATTATAGGCTTAAGAGTCCTGTTCCTGTGAAGCCACATCTTCCTGCCTGGTAGACAAGCACTCTACCTACTGAACTGCACCCCAGCCCTGCCTTATCTTTCTCTGATCTATTCTTTGTCCTCACCACCTGCTGCCCTTCTCCTGCCTTAGTGTTGTATATTGGCTAGAAGCTGTTATAGAATGCTGAGAGCAGAAATTGATCAAATATGTTGACTCACTTTGGGGAGGCGGTCTTGACTGAGACCCTCCAAGAAAGCTGGAGTGGGAAATTTTGAAGAGTTAGATGAGAACCTCTTTAGACATTCCTGCTCTGATGTCATAGACAGGATCCACGTCCCAACAGGGGATGTGACATCTGAAAGCAAGGACCATAGGCTAACAGGGTGGATGAAATTAAACATTGTGTTAGAAAGGTTATGGATTATATAGCACCTAGAACCTCCAACTTGGGACAGTCTTATCAACCAACTATATCCACGCACTGCACAACATTTTGACCACTAATAGACTGTATATTTGACGGTAGTCCCAAGGGCTGTGATGGAGCTGAAAAATTTCTGTTCCCTAGAGACATTTTTGGTGTTCTCAGGTAGCAAATTATATGTAGCACTATGTGTGTTCTTGGTGACAGTGCTAAAAACAAATCTAGCACACCACTAGTCATAAAGTTTAACACAATGATTAAGCACAACGTGTAATACTTGGTAACAATAATAAATGACAGTGTGTTGGTTTATATGTTTATCATACACTGTAGCTGAAGATCATTTGATTGCTTCTGTCCCCTCAAGGACCCTGATGTGACAATTTTGAAAGGTATTGTGTACCTTAAGGAGGTGGATCCGTCTAGGGTGTCCTTGGATGATTGGGGACACACCTTGGAAAGGAGACCCTGCTTGCCATCTCTATTTCTGCTCTGGTTCGAGATGCTACCACTAGTTCCTGCTAATGATCGGCCAACCTCACCATTGGCCGAGTCACAGGGGTTGCTTAATCTTTGACTTTGAGCCACTAAAACTACAAGCTAAATATATGTCAGATTGCTTCATATATGTCTGTGTCAGATATCTTATTATAGTGATGGAAAGATAGTATACTTCACTGGGTTTTCAACTGTTTTTGATTATGTGTTTGTACTTAGAAAGAGAACTATATTGTGAAAGCCTGTCATGTTAGACCAACGGAATCCTCACATAGCTTGTGTCTACTACTTGTCTTAAGGGCATTTAGAGGCCACCTGAAGTTTTACCCTACAACTTAAGAGTTCATGTAGGGCATACTACAATATTCACACAACTGAAAAATAACCAATGACAAATTTCTCAAAATGTCTTTCCATCATGACTAAATTTTAAGGAGAAATCTTCCAGGCAGCCCCATCTTGCTTTCCCGTCTTGAAGAAACACATGGCTTTTATATTTCTCAAACAGGCCAGGCCTATCCACCTGAGATGGATGAGGAGAATGGGAAAGGGATTTGACAGCCCATTTTTAGAAGTCCCTTTCTTACCATGGGTCATTCTTTTCTGATCCCCTTTGCTACATGAAGGATAACATCACAATGAGCTATAGTAGAAACATGGTCTGACTCTATATACCTGTGGATATCAATACTGGCATTGTAATCTTGCAATTAATAAGTGTAATTTTGCCTAATTAGGGTGACTACCAGCTTATTTATCATGACCAGTCTTACTTGGAAGGTATATTTGGGAGGGGCTTGCTAAGGGATGATAAACTCACATATGTACCTCTTGCTACTTCGACAGGCCTCGTCACTCCATTTTCCCTGAGCTGACTGGGAGAACAGAACACAGTTCTCCCGCTTGCCACCACTGGGCTGGGCACGGTCCCAGTTGAGAAAGGAGACGGCGAATCCATGGACATCGAGGAACTTGCCTTCTGTGACCATGTCATTTATGCCCAGCCAAAAGTCATTGACACCTGGCAGACTCCTCTTACTATAGTCTCGGAGGGCGTTGATTTCGTCGGAATTCCTGGGGACAACTAGGGTTCCTCCCTTGGAAATGCAGTCTTCGTTGGCTTCGTGGTAGTGTTTCAGGCCTTCTGAAGCAAGGTAGCATTTCTTATGGACTTTGGTGCCTCGAAGACAGACTGTGAAGATGGGAAATTTGATGATGTAATAGGATGCCTTTTATGTGTGACACGCCTAATACTGGCCCAAGCAAGCATTGATAGATGTTTGTGTAATGATTGATGTGCTGACAGTGATGAGTTACCATTGATGATTTTTATCATGCCAGCCACAATGATAAGCACTTGCAATTTCAACAACCCCACAAAATTGTTACAACTTAACATGCCCCAAAAGAGTTTAGAGAGCATATAATGAATTCATACCCACAAAAGACTCAAAACATAACCTAAGCCTAGGTTGCTTTGATATAATTTGTATCCTAGTTTATGTAAGGAACTACATGGTGGGTTTCCTTGGGACTTTTAGAATGGAATGGAATTTCATAGTAATTTAAAAAGCAAACACAAACCACTTGTGATGGCACATGCCTATAATTGCAGCATTTGAAAGGTTGAGACAGAATGCTTGCTATGAATTTGAGGTCAGCTTGATCTACAGTTCCAGGCCAGACAGCTCCACATAGACAGATCTTATCACAAAAATAATAACCAAAAAAGAAAAAGAAAGAAAGATGGAAGGAAGGAAGGAAGGAAGGGAGGGAGGGAGGGAGGAAGGAAGGAAGGAAGGAAAAGAAAGCAGACAAAAAGTCATTGAGAATAGTGGTTTTCCCCCTACTTTGGTTTGTTTGCTTGCTTTTGACACAGGACCTCTCTCTCTCCACCCCCTCCTTGTGTGTGTGTGTGTGTGTGTGTGTGTGTGTGTGTGTGTGTGTGTGTGTATGCCTGCCACAGTGCGTCTGGCAGAGGACAACATGTGGGAGTCTGTTCTCTCCTTTCATTAAGTGGGGTTCAGGAATCAAACTCAGGTCGTCAGGCTTGGTGGCAGGCACCTTTGTCTGCTGAGCCATCTTGCCAGTCCTCACTGTAGTTTTTGTAGATGTGGTCTCATGTAGTCCGGGGTAGCCCCAGATTGACTATGTAGCTCGGGATGACCTTCAGCTCTGATTCTTCTGCCTCTACCTCCTGATTCTGTGGCATTAGCAGGCATGTGCCACCACACCCTGTTTTTTTATGCAGTGCTGGAATGGGATCCAGGGCTTTGTGCTTGTGAGGCAAGCATTCTATCGACTCAGCCACAGCCATGCCCTAAAAGACAAGACACAGATCCCAGGCTGCCAGGGAATTCTCTCTATAGCCTAGTCTGGCCTTGAATGAACCTGTAACTTCTGAGTGCTGGGATTACAAGGCATGCACCACCATGCCAGGCCGGAACTGTGGTTTTCTTATGAAGAGAACTGGGGGCTAGTAATATTGCTTAGGTTATCCAGGGTAAAATAAACCCACAGGTAGTTTAAGAGTTTAGACTGTTGAGCCAAGTTCCAGAGCCATAGTGCATGATTTAAGTCTCCTTCCCTCACATTTTAGTAGGAAGTATTGGAGAAGTCAGTATAAAGTGACTATTCAGCACATATGTTGGAAAAATTAATTTTTAGGTAGTAGCCTGGTGTGGTGGTGCATGGCTATAACCCCAGCATTTGGGAGGTGGAGACAGAGTGATTGGGAGTTCAAAGTCAGCCTCAGCTGGGTAGTGAGTTTGAGCCCATACTGCTCACCATGAGACCCTGTCTCAGAACAGAGTATTAATGGTGTCAGAATACACAGCAAAAGTAACACTTTTTTTTTCTCACTATACAGGATCATTTGCCCTTACTTTAACTTTCCAATTATGCATCCCTGGAAAGCTGGTAAAAGGAGTGTTATCACCCTGTTCCAAGGCACCATTGTGTATGGTGAAGGTGACCCTGGTTTGGTAACTAGCTTGAGAGTAATGAATACTTGATGAGAAGCTGTGATTTCATTTGTCTGAAGGTGCTAACTTTAATAGGTAGGCTTCCTGCAGGGACCCTCAAAACCCAACTCTCGAGGTTGGTATGAGAGACATTGACTCCTGGTATCCTTTTTTTTGTTTGTTTGTTTTGTTTTGTGTTGTGTTGTTTTTTGAGACAGGGTTTCTCTGTGTAGCTTTGCGCCTTTCCTGGAACTCATTCTGTAGCCCAGGCTGGCCTCGAACTCACAGAGATCCTCCTGCCTCTGCCTCCCGAGTGCTGGGATTAAAGGCGTGGGCCACCACCGCCTGGCTACTCCTGGTATCCTTATAAGCCAGGACTGCTCTGGACCTGTGCATTCTGCTCTCACTCATTCACCTTTTTAGAGCACAGCTCCTGGCCAGAAGTGTGTGCAGCTAATGGGCTGTGGAGGAGTGCTTCTCTCCAGACAAAGTCTGTTAGGAAGCTGTAGCCCTAGCCAATATCCTTCCACATGCATCCATGTTGGGTGTAGCCTTGGAGAGCCTTGTGGACCTGTTTGGTCAACTCTCAGTGGCTCCCAGACAGCACTCAGTGAACATCCAGTAATGCTTCATTTCGGATATTGAATATTCCTCATTTTGTTTCTCCACCTATAGGGAAGGTAGTTAGGGCTGGGCATCGTGATGCATGCCTTTAGTCCCAGCACTCGTTGTTAGGTTGAGGCCAGCCTGGTCTATATGGCTAGTTCCAGGACAGCCAGAGCTACATAGTAAGACCCTGTCTCAAACAAACAAACAAACAAAGTATTTAAGACCTGGCCTTTAAAGTATCTCCTTGTGTGCGTGTTTCTCTGTGTTTCTGTTTGTGTGTGTGTTTCTATGGGTGTGTGTCTCTGTGTGTGTGTTTCTGCTTGGAAGCCAGAGGCTGAAGTCGTGTGTCTTCCTCACTTCTCTCCACCTTGTTTTTCTAGTAGGTATTTCACTGTACCTAGAGCTCTGTGATTCAGCTAGACTGGCTGGCCAGTGAGCCCCAGGGATCCTCCTGTGTTCTCACCCCCAGCTTTAGACCTGGCTGTCCTGGAACTCAGAGATCTGCCTGTCTCTGCTGGGATTAAAGGCGTGTGCTAGCACGTTTGGCTGTCAATGTTTTGTTGTTTTGGTTTGGTTTTTCATCTTGTCTTGTTTTGTTTTTTAATGAACAGACAAACCCCAGAACTCAGCATGCGATCTGGATGAGTTCAGTCCTGGGCAATGCTGATTCTTGCCTGCTCCCCTTCCAGACTAGACTCAGGTGACTAGCCATCTCACCTGTCTGCAGAGCTTGCATTTCCTTCAGGGCATTCACTTCTCGCCACAGCTTTTCAACTTGAGACTTCAGGTCACCATCCTTTTCTGGGAGCCGTTGTTGAGTAGGGTAGGGGGCAGGATGGAAAATATTCAATTAGATATAATGGAAATGTAAAAAACAAAAACAAAAACAAAACAAAACAAAAAAAATTGAAATCTATGGGGGATACAGAGGAACCAGCCATCTCCTGTAACCAGGCAAGATTTCCAGTGAAGGGATTGGGACACCAACCCAGCCACATAACCTTCAACCTACAATTTGTTCTGCCTACAAGATGTGCTGGGTAAAGGTGGTGCAGAAATTGTGGGAGTGGCCAACCAATGACTGGTCCAGCTTGAGATCCATACCATAAGAGGGAGCCCATCCCTGACACTGCCTGGAGGTCCAGGACCCAGAGGCTGGATAGCCTAGAGACCAAGGATAGAACCAAATAGGACGGGGGGAAAAGTCAATGAAATGACTTCCTAATGATATTCTGCTGTACTCAGAGATAGGTGCCTAGCCCAATTGTCATCAGAGATGCTTCACCTAGCAACTGATGAAAACAGATGCAGAGACCCACAGCCAGACATTAGGCAGAGTTCCAGGAATCCTGTGGAAGAGGGGAAGAAAGGACTGAAGGAGGCACAGGGGTCAGAGGTACCACAAGATAACCCACAGAACCAACTAACCTGGGCTCATAAGGGCTCGCAGAGACTGAACCAACAACCAGGAAGCCTGCATGGAACTGACCTAGGCACTCAGAACATATGTGACAGTTGTGTAGTTTGCTTGGTCTTCTTGTGGGACTCCTAACAGTGGGAGCAGGGGCTGTCTCTGACTCTGTTACCTGCTTTTTGGAACTATTTCTTCCTTCCGGGTTGCCTCAGCTAGCCTTAATAGGAGAGGAGATTCCTAGTCTCACTGCAACTTGATATACCATAGCTGGCTGATATCCATGGGAGGACTGCCCTTTTCTGAAGAGAAATGGAGGAGGAGTGGATAGGGTGTGGAAGGAGGGACTGAAGGGAGGGGGAAACCACAGTTGGGATGTAAAAAACAAACAGACAAAATGACAGCTTTGGAATGCAGAATCCCAGGCAATGGTGGTTCTGATGAAGCCAAGCCAAATGTTTACTGAAAACAATACTCGAAGAGAACCTGGCTGAGAAGGTTCCTGGGTCTCTGCAGATGGTGTCTGCTCTCACCTCTCCTTACCAAGCTTAACTGTGTATTCTGGGCAGACTTTTCTGATAACCCTGGAAATTAGCATCCCCGCTGCTAATCTTTCCCAAACCTTGTTTATTTTCCTTCAGAGCACCATCTGTATTTTACTTACTTCATTTCCTTGGTTTTATTATCCATGATTCTCCCTACGCTTGGCACGATCCTGCACATGAATTGTGCTTGCATTGGGGGCATACAACTTTGGATATAAAAAGGTTTATGTTATTTGAATGTTTATGGAAGATGAGTGCAGTGAGCTAAGGGCCATGGGGGATAAGGCCAGGACTCAGACTTACTGGGACTCTCCTCCCTGACCCTGGGATCTTTCTGTGAATGATGAGGTATGATGGAGGTGCAGCAGCTCCTGGTGGCATTGGGTGATAAAGATCATTGAAAACTTTTGAACGGGAATATCACCACCTACTACTTTTCCTTATTCCTTGTTCTCTATCCACCTCATTCCCTCCTTTCTTCTCCCTTCTTTTCATCCTTCTCTCCCCCGCCCCTTTGGTGGTATTAGAGATTAAACCCAGGGTCAAATATCTTATGCATGCTAGGCAAGGGCTCTACCAATAACTATATCCCTAGCCTCAGTTATTTATTCTTAAATGTTCTTAGATGGGGCCAAAAAATCTTCACGATTGTCTTTGCTTAACCTCAGTTGTGTATAAGTGAGTAGCTGTGGCTTCTGGCTAAATTCCAGAAGAATGGGGACTGTCTTAGTGATCGTTAGGAACTGTGACAAGCCGTACCAAATACTAAACATGTATATATATATAAAAATATATCGTATGCACTAGGCTGTGAGATCAGTTCTTCTGCTGTCTCTGAGATATACACTTTGGTCTAGAAGCTTACAGAAGAGGATGCAGAGAAACAGAAAACTGAATCCACCCACTGAATGTCTCCTAGTCGGTAAGACATAGAGCTCAAATGTGGGTGTCTCTGGCTTCCAGCCTGTTCTCTCCCATTCCTCTGTCCCGCTTCTGCAAAGCAGCTGTCTCCACCTCCTTGGTCCCCAGCACATGGGTTTAGACAGAGATGACACGTAAAGGTGATTAAGAACCATCTCCAGCTGTCTCTTTGTGGGTCTGCCATACAGAGACTCTGTTTTGTGGGCTGGGAAGGTGGCTCAGCCAGGAAAGTGCTTGCCAAGTTTGAACCTTCCAAAATCCAAGTTTGACCAATGAAACCAGGCATGGTGGCATGCTAATAACCCCAGCCTGAGAGGCAGATACAGGCAGATGCCTGGGGCTTCCTGATCAGTCAGCCTAGCCTACTTAGAACTACAGGCCAAGAAAAGACACTTCTTAAAATAAAAAAAAACAAAACAAAACAAAACAAAAAAAAAACAACAACAACAAAAACAAGGTGGATGACACCTAGGAAATACTAGAGGTTGTCCCTCTGGCCCCTACATGCGTGTGCACACATGTGAACACACACTGACACATGTATGTACCGGCACACACACAAAAGAAAATCAGTTTTGTGTCCCTGTGAATTCTCAGGAGAGTGTAAAATCCAGTGGCTCAATTCCCTGTCCCCTCAAACTCGTGCTTCACCAGCCAGATGTTTCCACATTTGGGCTAGGAAATTGCATTCTGGGGTATTCAGCGCCTCCTCCCCCTACCTCTGTTTCACTTGACATTGTACATCAGTTCCTAAGATTTTTTTTTTTTTCCTGTGAGACCACTCAAAGTGGAATAAATAAAAGGGGCATTTAGATGCAAACCCATCAGCTACTGGGGCCAGGTTTGCAAAGGCCCGCTGAGGTCTGGCTTCTAACGTGGAAGCTGTCAGCCAGACACGTTTCATCCCCCTTCCTTCCTGCTCAGCTTCCAGCTTCTTCCTATTTAAATAAGTAGCTATAAACACTATCATTACCACAAAGACACATGTGTCCCCATTAGGCTCCTGGGAGGTCATTATGGCAGCCATCATCTGGGGGTCTTGGTGGCTTCCATTCTCTGTTGCTCAGGTGGACGAACAGAAGGAATGCCCTGAGGAGCTAGCTCACTCTAAAAGGTATATTTTATTCATTAGTATAACACGTAATTTGTAGAGACCCATGAAGAAAGTACTCAGGGAACACTTGGATTGGGTGACTGACTACTGCTGCCACTTTGAGTGTCTTAAAAGGTCTCTTATTCTTTTGCGATCATGTCTGTGTGGCATCAGATCCAGGACAGAAAAACACAAAAAACATTTCCAGTGGAACCATGGTAAGGTGTTAGATTGTTCAGTTGAATGAGAATGGCATAGGCTGGTGCTGTCATTTGAAGAGACAATTACAGGGTCAGGTTAACAGAGAATGTCACTTCTAGAAGGTACACCGCAGCCTTTTGGCACAAGAATAGACATATGTGCACAAGGGTCTCCTGTGGAACACTGTGTCGAAGAGAGACATACCAGAAACCACATAAACATTGCCAAGAAAGAAGCAGTTAAGTCAGAGCCTCCCCCAAACAATAAAGTAGCACATGCAACTGTTAAAATGAATGAAAAATGCCTCCATTTATAGCTATCTAAGACTGAACACATAAAGTAAATTTATTTACCTGCCAAATATTTGCAATGCCAATCTGGGTGATATTTATCTACTGTTATTAGCCGGTAGATAATTCTGGGTAAGGACTGGAGGGGAAAAGGTGGATTTTACTTTTTTGCTGTTGTTGGTTTTGCGGTTTTGAGACAACCTCTTAATGAAGCCCAGGCTGCCCTTAAATCTGCTATACAGTTGAGGCTGGTCTTGAACTCACCGTCTTCTGCCTCCACCTCCCAAGCACTGGGATTACAAATACCTGTCACCATTCCTGCCTTGGCTTTCACATTTGGTTCTGTAAACTTTGGTATTATTTCAAAGTACTCAAAATATTAAAAACAAAATAAAACAAAACAAAACTTGAGTGAATAGGTAGGAAAAGAAGCAACCAGCAAATCTAGGCTGATTGCTTTACCTCTTGTAGACCTGACTTTCATTGGACTTGAAGGCAAAGATTATTACTTTGGGTCAGGGGGATGGTTAAGATGTGTTTGCAACAATAAAAGAACATACCTGCTGGAGGTGATCTTAGGATAGGAGAGAGAGAGAGCAAGAAGGAGCTAGAAAGAGCAAGAAACTCACATCTATACATTTTTTACCCTCTCCGCACAGTTCCTACTTCAATAAAGAAGCACAAAAGTATGCCACATCACTCAGTGTCTTCTCTCTCTTCTGTCCTCACCTGCCGTGATACACTTCACCTCCTCGTGAGAAATATCTGAAACTTTCCTTTAAAGAGCTTGCACGGAGAGGCAATACTTTACAAGGATAAGTATCTCTGCTTAAGAAACCTTTCCTCAGACCAGGCTTTCATAAACACCCCTAGGAATGATCTTTGAGAATAAGAAAAAACAAATCAGAAAATCTACAAACAACAACAAAAACCCACAGGGGGATCCATCATCCACTTGTGACAAGTGGAATCTAGGCTTTAGTGGAGGTTTTTTGCTTGTTTGTTTGTTTTTTGTTTTGTTTTGTTTTTTGAGCTAGGGACTCAAGAAGCCCAGCCTCAAACTCCCTAGCCAAAGGTGACTTTGAAGTCCTGATCCTCCTGCCTCCACTTCCCAAGTGAGCCAGCCACCCATGACAGCTTAGCTTTGCATTTAACAAACTGAAAGTGGTGAGCAAAGAGCTCCATGATATTTATGTTGAAACACTCTGTTAGGAAAATGGCTCAGAGCCTGAGGTAGCATGTCACCGGACCAACTGCCTTTTTCTTCTGCTTTGGTTCCCACCTCAGGCAGACACAGTCGCATCATCTGGGTTCTTTGCAGCTGTGAAGTTTTTGTCTCTTAACCTGGCATAAACCCACTTCAAATCTAGCTACGCTTGACGAGTGAATTCCATGTCAAAATATCTTTAAATTCTGTCTGATTTTGTGTTGACAGGTTCTTAAATTAAAGAGACATCCAGCACTCTGTGATATGAAAAATTAGATACACGGTTTCAACAGCTGTCCCGAGGTAGAGATGGGAAAATAAACCAACAGGATAGCCAGTGACAAAAGGGAAGCCACAGTTGCCCTAGTCATCTGACTTACTGAGATTGCAGTGAGCTTACAAATATATTTGAATATATTTATACCCAGGAGATCACAGGGCACCGCTAATCAGTGTCTTGCTTTCCCATCATCCATTAAGCCCTATGTCCACAGGTCCATGTGAGCTCTAGCTCAGAAATGTTCCATATTATTGAAACTCATTGGACAAGAGACATACAATAGGGACTGTTTTCATTATGAGAAATTTTTTCAATAGTAATAACAACAACAACAACAATAATAGTAATAGTAAAAACTTAGTACATGTTTTCTTTAAATAGCAACCCCCCCAGAGACTCCAAAAGTCACCGGATCCCCTGCAAAGCCACACACCCACGAGGTAATGATGGTCTCCTGGTGCAGTTTGGGTATGAACCTTGTTCTACTCTTTCCCTGCCTGAATAAGCCTAGGGTTTTTGCCAGGCAGCAAAACCTTTACCCATTACCTTTCACACGGCGTTTGCTATGTTTCCTGGCTTTCACTCTGGATGGGTAGCTATTGGTCTGGTCCAGGAGTAAGCTGGCCACCAGGATACAAATGACAAGTCCATTCTTTGCCATGGCTCTGGGACAGGCCAGTCTAGCCACTTGGTCAGCAGCGCTGGAGCAACTAGCGTGCAGGGAGGCTGTGAGGCCACATCTTGCTCTGGGCTGCCTGGGGCTGACTTTATATAAAGGAGCTCCAAGGTTGGCTAGAAGCCTGCTGACGGAAGGCTGGAATGTTCCTGGGGCCATGGCATAAGGAGGCTCCCTGTTCTTACACCTCATGCTGGGCTCCTGATTCGTTTATTTTTATTCTGTTTGCCTTTTCCCATCGATTTGTCTTTTCTGAGTGTATTTGAGTAAAAGAAAGATTTGCCTTTTAAAAAACTTTGATATATATGTAATATATGTTTTAGAGCTCTCAAGTATATCAAATGTCTGGAAAATGGATCCAATTCAGTTTTCAGAGTTAAAAAAATTTTTTGTCCAAATTGCCTGAGGATGTGGCTCAGTGGCACAGTGTTTGCTTGGCAGATGTGAAACACTGGGATCAACTCTCAGCAACAGAAAATAAAGTGATACTGTGACCCCTCCTCCCATCAGGGAAGTTCCTGCCTATACACTGTGTGTGCATCTGCATGTGTTTGTGTCTGTGTGTGTGTGGGAGTCTGTGTGTGCATGGGAATACATGTCACAAACACGTGAAAATCAGAGGACAACCTACACCAGTCAGTTCTTTCCTTTCACCTAGTAGGTCCCAGAGATCAGACTTAGCTCTTCAGTCTTGGTGACAGGCACTTTTACCCCCCTGAGCCATTTTGCTGGCCCATTTATTTTTATTTTTTAAAAAAATAGGCAGTAGTGGCGCACACCTTTAATCCCAGCACTCATGAGGCAGAGGCAGGATGATCTCTGTGAGTTTGAGACCAACCTGGTCTATAGAGTGAGTCCTAGGACAGCAAAAGCTACAGAAAGAGAAACCTTGTAAAAAAAAATGAATTAAAATTTTAGTTTAATTTAGTTTTGAGGCAGTCTCATGTAGTCCAGATTGGTCTCAAACTTGCTATATAGCTAAAAATGACCTTGATATTCTGATCCTCCTGGCTCTCCTTTTAAAGTGCTGGATTATAGGTATTTGCTACCATTGCCAATACCACTCTGCAATTGAACAGGTACGTCTGAACACTCACGTGTCTACATACTCCCACGTCTGCACTGTTCTTCTGGACTTACAGCAAGGACAGAAGTAGATAACTCACTATAAAATATAAAGCTGCCTTCTATTAACGTTTTGCCAATGTATCAGGAATTGTATTCCTAAACTCTACCTGGTGGTTCAGGCCTATAATCCCAGCTGTCTGGGAGGCTGATTCAGGAGGATCACAAGTTTCAGGCACGGCTTGGGCTACACAGTGAGTTCAAAGCTGGTCAGTCTGGATCATTTAGTGAGACCCTGTCCCAAAATAAAAAGTAAATATAAGGACTGAGGGTTGGGGAGGTAGCTCAGTGGATAAAGTGTTTGCTACCCAAATGTGGGGGCCTGAGTTCAGATGTGCAGAATCCTTGTAAACACAGACTGGGTATCATGCATCTGCAACCCCAATGCTGTCATGGTGAGATGGGAGGTGCAGATAGGAGAATCCCTGGAAGGAGAGGGCCAGCTAGCCTGGAGTACACAGCAATGAAGAACAAGAGATACTGTTTCAAATAAGTTAGAAGATAAGAACAGATACCAAAAGTTGTCCTTTTAACAACCCCCTGCCACACACCCACATTTACACACACACCAGCTCATATACCCAAGATTTAAAACAAAGCAAATACTGGGGTGTAGCTCAGTGGTAAAGCACTTGCTTAACACATGCAAGGTGGTAGGCTCAATCCCCAACGTCACACGTATGCACAAAATTGTATTCCTAGAAGCATCTTAGACTAAAAAGAAAAAAGTGTTTGCATCTATCACTAAATAACTAAATATAGTTATTTCTCAAATCCCCAACACCAAACACTTGAGGCTTCTCCAAGCGCATGAGAGCACACTGTCAAGTGAATTCTATAAGAAATAGAGGAATGTGATGAGGGGTGCAGAGACAGCTCAGCCTTTAAGAGGGCTTACTGCTCTTGCAGAGGACCCAAGTTTGGCTCTGAGCACACACATCTGGTAGCTCACAACCGCCTGTAATTCCGGCTCCAGGGGGCTCCCACATCACCACAGGTACCTGTACTCATGTACACAAACCCAAGCATATACAAAAATACCAAAAATAAAATATTTTAGAAGTAAATGGAGAAAGATAATGAAAAGCTATAACTGTTCTTAGCTGGGTATCAGTTTTAAGACTAAGTATGTGTGTAGGGGTGGGGTGGGATGGAGTGTGGGTATTGCACTTGCTGTACAAGCACTAAGATGAGAGTTTAGATACCCAGGACCCAGGTAAAAGCAAGTGAGTTTGGTAGCCTACCTATAACCCAACAGAGAGAGGCAGTGATTGGAAATCCTTAGAATAAGGATTTGTATGGCTGCACTAGCTAGAATGTAAGGTTCTGGTTCAGCCGGAGACCTGCCTCCATATAGAATGCAGAGGGTGATTGGAGAAGACACCCAATATCAATCTCAGTCTTTCACACATGTGTGCCACCCCAGACATGTGTGTGTACTCATACATATATACACTGCATACACACACACACACACACACACACACGTGCAAAAAAATGAGTACTGACACTAGACAGGCTTGTCAAAAACAACAGGTGTGATCACGATGGAACATGTCAGAGCAGGGACAGCTTCTGGATGCTACCTTTGGTGTTCTGTGGATGGCCTGGTGCAGTGCTATTTGGCTGGAATATCTGAAGAAATGATTCCTCCTCCTGCATGCTAGTGAGGAGATCTGTCCACTTCCTCACCATTTCCTCTCAGCCACAGCCACTTTGTAAAAGCCTATTCTTTCTCAGAGAGGACCACATGGATGGGAAAGCCTGGCGGTTTAGCACTGTAAGTGTACAGTAAAATGTAAAATTGTCACCCATCATGCCGACTCTTTGTGCTAACAGGGACTCCGTGTGTAGACAGTTGAGGACACTTGTGGACTTGAGGCCAAGCTTCTCATCCTACTGTGACTCATCTATCAGTTGTGTGACCTTGGGCAAATCCCCTCTGTGTGCCTTATCAATGGGGCTAGAAATTCCTGCTCTACCAGGCTGGAGGAAGAATTAATGAGATAACAACCACAAGGGCCTTGGCACAGTATCTAGAAGGGAGTGTCTCAACAGCGATCAATAGGCTTCTGCATATATGTTACGGTTGTGTAGTTTGGTGTCCTTCTGGGACTCTTAACAGTGGGAGTGGGGGTGGGGAATGAGCTATTTCTGACTCTTTTGCCTGCTTTGGGGACCCTTTTCCTCTTACTGAGTTGCCTCATCCAGCCTTGATATGAGGATTTGTGCCTGGTCTTATTGTAGCTTGTTATGCCATGTTTGGTTGATATCCCTGGGAGGCCTGCTCTTTTCTGAAGGGAAAATAAAAGAGGAGTGGATCTGGGAGAGAGAAAGGGGAAGGGGGCTGGGAGAAGAAGAGGGAGGGGAACCTGTGGTCGGGATGTAATATACAAGAGAAGAATAAATAAAAAAATCAATATGCACAACTTACAGAATGGAATACTGAAGATGCTTACCTTTAAGCACAACGCATATGAATTATGGAACAGATTGCCAACTTTTTATTTTCTGTGCAGGGGATTGAACCCAGAGCTTCATATACACTAGGCAAATGCTCCACCACTGAGTCTCACCTCCATATGTTGTTTCTTAAAGATTATTTTTATTTTATGTTTATGAGTGTTTTGCTTATATGTATGTCTGTGCACCATTTTCATGCCTGATACCCACAGATGCCAGAAGAAGGCATTGGATTCCCTGGAACTGGAGTTTCTGATGTTTGTGAGCCACCATGTGATGCTGGAACCAAACCCAGGTCCTCTGCAAGAGCATCAAGTTCTTTTAACTCCTGAGCCATCTGTCCAGGCCCCATATATTGCTTTTATTGAGACAAGGTTTTACTATGTAGCTCAGGCTGGCCTGACACTCACTGTGTAACCCAGGATGGCCTCAATATTAGGATATTTTATTCTTTCTAACAAGCCTATGAGGTAGGAATTCCCTCTGTTGTGTGTGATTGAAAATGAGTCTAGAAAGCCCTAAATGGCCTTGCCAGCATCACTAGGGTTCTGAGGACAAGAGATGGCATCACAATCTGCTTCTCGCTGACTTTGGAAAGCTTGGGCTGTGAAAATGAGCTTTGATTGAATGAGGGAAAAGATCAATGTGTAAAGCAAACATTGGTTTCACAACTGATCAAAAATACTTTTTGCCTTCTTTCCAAATCCTTTCCTTCTCAGTGGGAGGGGGGGGAGGAATCCAAATTGTCAAACAGTGATGAAAAGCCAAGTATTTGTCTTAAGTCTTTGAGCTGCACTGCCCTTACATGACCCTTGTAAGGTAAGGTATCTTTTTTTTTCTTCTTCTAAATAAATGTATTATGTTTTAATGCTATCTGTTCCTTTCCAGGAAAGCCTCTGATACTTTTTATATTGGTTTTTCTTTGAGTCTCATCCAAAAGTCCATGCTTCCTTCTTGTCAAGTTAGTAGGATTTATTTAGTTTAGTTTTTTTTTTTTTAGTTTTAAAAATTATTATTTTATGTGCATGAGTGGTTTGCCTGCATGTACCTATGTGCTTCATGTGCATGCCTGGTGCCCACACGGGCCAGAAGAAGGTGTCAGATCTGATAGAACTGGAGATACAGATGGTTGTGAGTCTCCAGGTGAATGCTGAAAGTCGAACCTGGGTCCTCTGCAAGAGCAGTAAGTGCTCTTATTCACCGAGTCAACTCTCCAGTCCCAGTAGAAAAATTTTTTTTATAGAGTAGCATTACATGTATAGAAATGTTGAGCAGGAATACAAAGACTTCCTTCAAACTTCCCGAGACACCCTTCCTGTGCCTGCCAGCATAGTTGTTTCTACTGGTAACATTTCAAATTAGTGTGGTGAATTTGTTACAATCAATGAATGATTATTGACATATCACACTTAGTAACTAAAGTCGACAGTGAATAGTTTGTCATTAGTACCATCCATTCTGTGGGT